GATAGTGGAACTGGTATGGTTGAACTAGGCTTCAATGTCCATTGACATGTATGAGAGCTGAATGGGATGTGGGACAGACTGGACTAGTCTGCTGCACATACTGGCAAACCAGGGTAAGGGGTGGGCCTGGTGGGGGTTATTGTAGGTTTCTCCGACTAGGCTGCAACTCCCACTGGATTATGTGAGAGCCGAGTGTGTGCTGGGAAGAATCAGGCTGGACTGCAACACCCATTGGTTCTAGTGGAATTTGGGGCTGGAAACAGAACCGACCCAGGAATTGCATCCACCAGCTGACTGGGGCAATGGACTGTACTTGCAAGAATACACAAGAATCTGGTCTGGGATCACCTCAAGGTTTCTTTTGAGATCTCCCCACTCAATTCCGGACTCAGAACCCTAACTATGAAAAGACAGAGAACAAAACAAGTCAATCAACTACCCCAGCCATATGTTGGCAGTGAAAAACTGGGCAAATGGACAGTCTCAGATGGACTATGTCAATCAGTGGATTCTGTAGCGATCTCATCATGCTTGGAATGGCAAGATTGGCAGTAGTTCATAAGTGTTGAACTATCAAAACCACTTGAGCTGCCGCACATCATGGACCTGGGATGGGTGGGAGACTGGGTGGAGCTTCTCCTTTTATCTCCCCGTTCACCCCAGAAATGGGAAAAAAAACAATGTGGAGATGATGGTCTTAACCACTTTGCTATAGCCCTTGAACCTTTGTTCCCTAATTAACTATGTAAAGATTGTAAAAAAAAAAAAAAATCTGCTCCACCCAGGCAGTATCAGCACCACCTTCTAATAAAAACTTCAGTTCAGAGTGAGGTTATGATTAGGTAACCAATGTGTCATGGCACTAAAGGAAAGGAACACAGGGATATTGAGGCTAAATTGCCACTTGGGTACCTAGTCTTCTGGGATCTTGTCATGGCTTAGAGTGAAAAAGCAGATGTCAGTACAGGTCCCATTCTCTACACCTGCTACCACTGCTTCTACCAAGATCACTGGGAAGCTACACAGTGCCCCATCCCAAAGGGGCATTTCTCATCTTACCTGTCTGTAGCATTGGGCATAATTGGTTGCTTCCTCATATTTTAATTTATAGCTATTTGAGAGATAAGCAGAAAGAGAGCTTACACCCAACCAGTTTATTTCCCCAAGTATCCACAATGGCCAGAAGCGGTCCACGCTTAAATCAGGGAGCTGGGACCTGAATCCAAGTCTCCCACACGGAGGGGAAGAGGGACTCATGAGCTGAGCAGTCTCCCTGTTTCCTCGGGTGTGCATTTGCAGGAAACTGCCTCACTTTTTGTTTTTAAAAGCACTTTCTCCACTTGACCCATAGGATTCTAAGCTTCCTCATCCTTCCTGGCTACTCTTCCTCTTCAGCCAGCTCCATCTATCATCACAATTAAATGCTGGACGGCAACCACAGGACTTCTTCCCTTCACTGCCTAACTCCTGTCCAAGAGACCTAGCCAACCTGTGGCTTTACATTTGGTAGTTCTACACATTCCTGGATGTATATAGCTACTTCTATCATCTCTCCCACACTCCGGACTGCTTTCCTGATGCTCACACTTAGATGTATGTTCAGCAGATGTTTCAAACTTAACAAGCCCACAGACAAATGCCATGCCATAACCCGTTTTTGCAATCCAAAACTGCTACCTCCCAAATCCCCTGTGTATTTAGCACAACTGGTTGGGATGACAACTTTGCAATAACTTGTCTTTCTATCTTTCTCCTCTTATAGCATCTACTAGTCAGTTCAAGATGCCAATATGAAGTAAATCCATCTCTTCTTTCCCTACCACCTGCATCCTAGTACATACCTTCATCACGATGTTGCTTCTCTAGCCTCTCTTTCCCACAGTTATCCACTTAAACGTAAGTCGGGTTTTACCTCTCTGCCAAATACCCCCAGTGGTTCCCACTCTTCAGATTAAGTTCCAAATCCTCTCCATAATTACAATGTCCTGTGTCTGGATAGGTTCCAGAGTTTTCCTAAGGTTTTATGAGGATCATTTTAAACAGTTATCTTTTTTGCTAGGCAAAAGGTTTTTTCTTAAGAAATGATTTACCACATACTTTCTCAAAAGAAGTCTATCAGGGTATGTAATGTTTCTGAGTTATCACTGAAGTTCCTCTCTTTAAAAAATTTTTTAATGTTGTTTACATAATTGATAACAATGCAGTCCCATGAGTAAATAGGGGGAGAGGGCCCAGGCATGGGGGAAGGTGAGTGGGACAAATGCTTTCAATTTTCATTTTCTTCCATAGCTGGTGATTTTACAGGGAATTCAACGCGAAAAGAAAACAGCAGCCTCATTTCTTGTCTCACACAAAAGAATGATTTTCATGCACACAACCTTAGTGTGCAAGGCAAGATTTATTTAAGAGCAAGAGCAAGATGTCTAGTCATAGTGACGGCAGGGGGCCCCAAGGAAGCAAAGACCTGAGGAAATGGTGTCTTTTATGCACCATCTCAGGGAGGGGATTCACATGAGTCACCCGAAGGGCAGAAAGGAAAAAAAAAATCATCCTCAATGGGCAGCAATGTAGCCCCCATCATGAACCAAAGGGTATCAGAAGGGTTGGACTGGTGGCTTCCTCCTCCCGTTCTGATGACAAGCTGAAAACTCAGGTGCCTTCTCTTAACCTGGAGACGGGATTAGATCGGTACCCAGGGATGGGGGATGTCCACTGATGTCATCTGAGAGACCCCAATGGAGAAGAATGTTCTGAGGGTATTGCTTGATGGTTTGATAGTTCTGAGACCCTGTTGGTTTCATTGCTCCAGGACTGAGAAAATCCTTTCAAGGTCCATTGGCTGATAGTCTATCCCAGTGCCTGCACTCACCCAGACATTCACTGAAGTTCTTAATTAAATAGGATAAGCAGCCATGCTTTTCTCTACCCACTTCTTTCCAAACACTGGAAGGAGTAGTCAAACATTCTCCAGCCTGAAGCCTTCTCTTTGTCTATTGCCCTTCTACTCTTGTTCAGTCCCCAAACCTGTAGAATAAATGGTTCTCGGACCAGGCACAACAGCGTAGTGGTAAAAGTCCTTGTCTTGAACGTGCCGGGATCCCATACGGGCACCGGTTCTAATCCCGGCAGCCCCATGTCCTATCCAGCTCCCTGCTTGTGGCCTGGGAAAGCAGTCGAGGACGACCCAAAGCCTTGGGACCCTGCACCCACATGGGAGACCCAAAAAGAAGTTCCTGGCTCCTGGCTTCGGATTGGCTCAGCTCCAGCCGTTGCAGCCGCTTGGGGAGTGAATCATTGGACGAAGATGTTCCTCTCTGTCTATCCTTCTCTCTGTATATCCGCCTTTCCAATAATATTGATAATAATAATAAAAGAATAAATAGTTTGCCCTGTATTATCTTCAACTCTCAGTGCAGACTGAAAATTTGTGAATGCTGTGTCTGCACTGCTGTATTACTGAAGGATAACCTGTTAGCTCACATTCAAAACTATGCATATGCTATAGTCTAAGACTCACATGTTTCATATTAGTGATTGAAATTGGGATAGGTCTTCCAAAATTGATGTATTAAGAAAGTATAGTTTTTTTTTTTAAATCACCAGTTTTTCTTTCTTGGTGTTGGATACAATGGTATCTGAAATAGATAGTGTCTTGCATTTTACTAAACACACAACACAAGGTCCAGTATTGTAGCATAGCAGGTAAAGGTAAAGCATAGCCAGCAATCCCCACATCCCATATGGTGATGGTTACCATGGTTACAGGAAGTGGGTGGACACCACAGTGACCTCAGCCAGAGATCTGGCACGCCTCAAAGGCAGCCAAGGCTACATACGGGCCAATGGTGGACAAAGGCCAACACTCCTTGCCCTATCAGGGCCCAAGCAAGGCTGATGCCAGCACCCATGTCAGAAGGGGTCTCCGCTACCTAGCTTGTCTTTCCCACTTGCGGTCCTCTTCTTTCGTGTTCATTCCTCCACCGCGTGGGAAAGGCCCAGGGACGGACTTCTGATTGCTTAATAACGGCCTGTTTGTACTTGGCTGGTATTTTCTTTATTAGGTGGTCAGCAAAGCTGACATGTGGATCCTTCTGATCCTAATGATCGGGGGAAAGCAGCAGCAGATGACCCAAGGGCCTCTGCCAGCCATGTATGAGACTGAACAAAAGTTCCTCGTCCTGGCTTCAGTCTGGGCTAGCCTGAGCCATGGCAACCACCTGAGGAGTGAACCCGTGCGTGGAAAGTTTCTCTTTCTAACCCTGATCTTCAAGTAAATACATATATGTCATAAATAGTTGTGTTTCCCATTCTGAGTTAGGAAAAGCTGGTTTAATAATACATATGGCCTTTTTTTTTTTTTTTGCCATGTTATACTTGATAAAACTCAATGAACTTTGAGAACAGCCATAAGCTCCTAGCTGTCAGATTGCAGATTTCATATGCATGAAAATATTCCAGGGCCAGGATTCTGGCTTAGCCGGCGAAGCTACTGCCTAGGGCTTGGCCATCCCACATGGGCGTCAGCTGGCTCTCCACTTCCAGCCTCTAGCTACCTCATTTGGAGATGTCCCAGGTGGTTGGGCCCTGCTGCTATGTGAGAACCTAGAAGTTGTTTCTGCCTCCTGGCTTCCCCCTGTACGAGCCCTGGCCAATACAGCCATTTCAAAAATAAATGATCAGGATGGAAGGTCTTTCTCTCTTTGAATCTTTCAGATACACAAACCTCAAATACTCCAGAAATCATAATACAGAAGGTTTTTTTTTTTTTTTGTCTCTTTGACACTGCACTATTTATGGAAACAATCCACACTGTAAGCCAAGCTAATCAGGCTGGAGAACTAAAGTTAAACAGCTCGTTTGCCACGGGCGAAGCTAAACCCAAGCAGAACCGCTTCCCCGCCCCTGTCACAGGTGTAGATAAGCGCCGAGCGCGGCAGGCCAACTCCCATTGGCCCAGGGAAGCGCCTTCCGGGCACGCGCAGGAAGTGGCGCGCAGGCAAGCTGTGCGCACGCGCTGCACCCGGCGGCCGCACTGGCGGGGTCGTGGGGAGTGCAGTGCCCACCGCGCCGTCACCGTCCGGCATGACGGCCCGGGCTCTGGCTGCGGTGTGCATGCTGCAGCGCCATGGCGTGCCTGCGGAGCTTGTCCCGGCGGACCCTGTGGACCCTGGTCTTGGGCCTGGCTCCTTCCAGCCGCTCCGCCGTGTGCTACGGCGGCGCGGCCGACCTTCTGGGGCGCAGCCGGGCTGCTCCGCTCTGCGCGCCCCTCCAGCTCCGCGCGGCAGGTACTGCTGCCCTGCTGGGCGCCTGGGGATGCGGGAGGGGTCACGGCTCGGGTCGTGCGTCCTGGGGTGGCCGGTCCCCTTGTGCAGGTGAAGGACGGCATCTGGCCGCCTGGTGTGTGAGCTCGCTCGCGAGCCTCGGCCGGCCCTGCACAGGTGCACGGGGCGGGGGCGTCCCTCCAGGTCCAGAACACGACCGCGCTTTGTCCTGCCAGCGACTGACCGGCAAAGCTGGCTCTCCCTCTCCCCCACTGCCCTTTCCTCCTGCAAATCTTGTGACCGTAATAGGAGCCGTGCGGCGCTCACCCCGTGCCCTGGATAGTCCGTAAGCATTCACTCTGATTCGTTCTTCAGGTGAAATGCGACGGTTTCGAACTTCTGATGCGTCTCAAGCTACCTTAGCCAGTGTGTCTCCAGTGTTTACTGTGGTGAGTGCACTTCGTGGTTTATAGAAAAGTACTTTCCATACGTGTTAACTGGGTCGGATGGTTGACCAAGACGCTAGCTTTATGCTGCAAGCTGAGTTGTTGATCTGGCTGTGGGCTGCGCTTCACAGTGTCACTGACCATGGAGCTTTACACACAAAAAGGCTAGACCTGCTTGTGCAGTGCCCAGTTGCCACTGGGGCTTAGTCTCACTTGGAAGCCTTTAAGGCTTGTTCACCTCCTAGGGGCTTGCACTGACATACAGGAAGTTACACGTGAATGTCTTGAGGGCAGCACTGTAAACTTGGAAGGCACACTTTGAAGGCCATTGTCTCAGAAACTTCCTGAAATGTTGCAGGAAAAAAAAAAAGGCATGTGTTTCTTTTCTCGGCTGGAGACAAGACCCTTGGGGAGTTGGTTAGAATATTAGTGGGCTTTTAATGTGCTTGCTTTGCTGTCTGAGTTATACTGTGCTCAATTGGCTCAATGGAACCTCAGTTCTGCCTCTTGGATGAAGTAGGCGAGCTGGGTAACAGAACTTCCTCGTGCTGTGGATTTCTCATCATTAGACTAGGGGTAACCTGCCTGAGGAAGTTCTCGTAAGGATTCAAGTCATGTTATGTTTCTAAAATCCTTAGAGTAATGCCTTACATGTGTTAAACATTCAGTATGTCTGATTACTTAATTTCCTGATTGATTAAGCTTGTTGACACACGAAAGTTATACAGAACAAAGTAACCACCCCAGCATCACCTGTGAAAAGTATAGCTTTTATTTGTTGTTGAAAGAGCAGTTTCATTGAACAGAAGTATTGCAGGTGAGGTCAGTCGACTGGTCAGTCACAGGAGAGGAAGCAGGTGCAGTTAAAAAGTGAGCTGCTCACGAAGGAATCAGTTTTAAAAGCCACAGTTTGTGTGAAGCTTTCTAAACTAAAAAAAAAATTCTAAAGACTTGGATGTAAATGTATTTCTTATGTGTAGTTAGTAACTTAAGAGACTGGAAAGAAGTTTGTGTATCATAACTAATTTTATAGGAAAATATCTGACAGGACATTTAGTAAGCTGTTTTTTTTTTTCTAAAAATTGTCATTTCATAGGATAAACAGTTTTATTTCCCAATTTTTCTTAGTGTCTATATGCACTTGTTAAATAAATTTGAGGAAAGCTGGTCTGTTATGCAAACAAAATTTCTTTTGATGTAAGTTTTCCCTCCATATTGATGTTTTTGGTAGTTATGTGTTCATGTGGATCTTTTGTTGATGGGAAGCAAGCTTAACCATATTTTGTAGGTTTTTACTGAGTTGTAATTAATGTGTGTGTGTATATATATGTGTATATATAATGTGTATATATTGTATATAGGTTTCCGTTATAATAACCAAAGACTTTGTACTACAACTATATTATCTTTACAAAGGTGCATATTTAATAGTAATTGGTACAGTCCAGCATGTAGGGTCAGAAAATATGGAGAACTTAGATAACTTGCAGAAAATTTATCCTCCGTAGGAAAATAGGTGCCTTTTCTACATCTTGCAACCATCAGGGGCCTTTGCTGTAAGTCTTTGATTCTGGGTGCCCACCCATGTGACTTTTTTTTTTTTTTAAGATTTTTTTTTTTTTATTGGAAAGTCAGATATACAGAGAAGAGGACAGAGAGGAAGAGCTTCTGTTACTCATTCACTCCCCAAGCGACCACAATGGCCAGAACTGCGCTGATCCGAAGCCAGGATCCTGGAGCCTCCTCAGGGTCCCAACGCTTTGGGCCATCCTTGTCTGCTTCCCCGGGTCACAAGCAAGGAGCTGGATGGGAAGCAGAGCTGCTGGGATTAGAACAGTATGGGATCGCGGCTCTTGCAAGAAGAAGACTTTAGCCACTAAGCTATCACACCAGACCCAAACCTGACTTCTTAAGCTTAATTTCCTAGACTGGTCACAGTTGGTCAGGTCTACTCAGGCCGTTCCGCAGGGCAGCCTCTCTGGCCCCTAAGTGATCACTCAGATCCCCAAGATGGCTTAGAGTGCCCACAGAGCCAGTGGCTGCCATCTCAGAGGCACAGCTCCTGGGTGCCACGGGGTCATGGCCAGCTGCCAGAGCCACTGCTGTCCAGGAAGGGCGAGCTGCAGCTGCCCACCTGGAGCCTCGTTCGGAATTGTCTCTGTCCTGTGCAGTCTTCCAGTCAGGGCTTTCTCTGTAAGCAGTGTTATCTAGTAACACACACCCTGTTCCATCAGATTTTAAGACAAACCAAGATAGAAAATGTTCCGCCAGGTCAGATTTTGTCCTAGCAAAGAGAAAAGGCATTTAAAAGAAAAATTCAGTTATGTTCTTATCTGCATTTCAGAAATTTTGGAGTGGTGAGTCATAATGCAATATACTTCTAGCATACACATTTGACAAAAAGTATTTGTTTTTATCTATTACAGACAAAATTTGACAAAGACGGGAATGTTACTTCCTTTGGTGAGTATCTGTTCTCTTGTAAATTGTTTGAATCAATGAATGAACTTGATGAAAATCAGGAAAGTGTGTTTTTGAGTAGAATGTTCTTTGTGCAAGTGTGTTGAAGATTTTTCTTCAGCGTCCCTCAACCTTGGTGGAACTGGCAACACTGACTGTGTGCCAGAAGGGGTTTCTTCTGGCAGAAGCCACTTCTGCTGCGTCATATAATGGTAAAGACATAATTTGGAGTGTAGTCCTGAAGCTCAGGGGCACATCCTGTCCATCTCCTGTTCCCTGCCTTCCTCCCCTGAGACCTGTTCTAGGACAGAATCCCGCGAGGAGCAGACGTGGGAGCTGGCACTGGTGGCAGTCACGTGGGCTCTGCCACTGACTGCTCTCCACGGGCAGTGACATGCTGATACTTCACTGTGTGAGAATGTGCCCGCCTCGGGCCTCCCTTCATGTCCAGCCCTGTGATCCCTGCTCCTGTCACAGCTGAGGTCCTGCAGGAGTGTCCTGTGGTGTTTGCTCAGGAGCTCCTGCGGGCAGTTGCTGCAGCCCTGTAGCACGTGTGGCTTGACGGTGCAGGTAGACCTACTGTCATCAGTTTAATGTGTTGATTTTCTCATCTGTTACATGTTCTCTTAGTTTTCAGGTAGAATCAGGAGAACAAAGAACTGACTCAATATCTGCCTGGAACAAAGAAATGTGAAATTTATATGATCACACACTTAGTAGTATTGAAGATGGTGCTTTGAGGGAATAAAATCAAAAATGTGGTTGGGTACAGTTCACAGTCAAGAAAGTCGACCTATCTGTAGAGCCAGAAATGGCTACTGAAGGTGCTTAGCATGTCCGTGGGGAGCTTGTGGTCATAGAGAAAATTTATGATATGTCCCAGAGAGGGGAGAAGAATAATTTGCCTGGACTTAAAAAAAAAAAATTAGGTAAACTTAACTACCTTTTGTTTCTATTAAAAATAGGAAGTTATTCTGGTGATGATGGGAAAGGCATTTTAAGTAAAGAACCTCAACTCTTTGTTACGTAGTCCACTTTTTCTTTTATAGAGAGGAAGAAAACAGAATTGTATCAAGAGTTAGGCCTTCAGGCCAGAGACTTGAGGTTCCAGCACTCAATGAGCATCACCACCAGAAACAACAGGATTATCATGAGAATGGAGGTATGGCCCCACTTCTTAGCTATCTTGGTCAGCTTCTAGATTAAGAGCACCTGATGGATTAGATGGACGCAGTCTCTCGAGCAAGCACTCTGCTGCTGTGTTCAGTAGCTAGCATCCTTCAGAAGTACCCCTTTGGAGAGATACTGTTGTGTGATGAGACAAAGTTGGCAGGAAGTTAATTGTGTTACCTCAATGTCAGGTATATAATAACTGTTAAATCTTTCAGCTTTTCTGTATCCAAATTTTCACAAACCAGAAAAAAAAATGATCTCTAATTTCCGTTTCTTTTTCTTTTATTTTATAAGATCTGTTTATTTGAAAGAGCATGGAATGGAGACAGAGAATGGAAACACAGAGAATTCTCAACACAGAGAATGGAAACACAGTTCTTTCACCTTCTGACTGGCTTCCCAAATGTCTGCAATAACAGCCAGGGCCAGGCCTAGCCAGAGCCAAGCGTCAGCAGCTGCATTCCCGGTGGCAGGGGCCCAAGGAGTCTGGCCATCCTCCTGCCTTCTCTGGTACCTTAGCAGGAACCTGGATTGGAAGTGAACCAGCCAGGACTCAAACCAGCACTCTGATGGTCATTATGTCTGACAGTCGATGTTGCAAACAGTCGCTTAACTTGCTGTGCCACCGTGCTGGTTCCATGTTCTTTAACATGGAAGATGCCAGTTTCTATCTAGAAGTTTCTAATTCTACTGGTCTAAATTGGGGCACTATGTTTTGTCTTTACAATTTCAAATTAATTGAATAAAAGGAAACTTTCCCGGGTGAGCTAAACACAGTAAAGATTAAATCTTGCCTAAAAGCCTGTCAGGTTGGTACTGTGATAGGTTGGTACAGCAGTTTAGACCACTGCTCACAGTGCTGGCGTCCCAGATCCAATCCTGCCTACTATGCTGTTGGTCACCCTGCTTATGGACCTCAGAGAGCAGATAGTGGCTCAACTGCTTGGGTTCCAGCCACCCACCTGCGAGACCTGAATTAAATACCTGGCTTCAGTAAACCAGTGAATGGAAGATCTTTTTGTGTCTCCTTCTCTGTGGCTATGCCTTTCAGATATGTAAATGAATAAATCTTGAAAAATGAAAGAAGTCTAATTTATCCTTTTAAAAGATTTACTTACTTGAAAGGCTGAGCCACAGAAAGACACAAAGGGCCCTGGCATGGTGGCCTAGAGGCTAAAGTCCTCCCCATGAACTCACCGGGATCCCAGGATCCCAGATAGCGCTGGTTCTAATCCCGGCAGCTCCCGCTTCCCATCAAGCTCCCCGCTTGTGGCCTGGGAAAGCAGTCAAGGACGGCCCAAAGCCTTGGGACCCTGCACCCATGTGGGAGACCCGGAAGAGCTCCTGGCTTCGGATCAGCCCGGCTTCAGCTGTTGTGATCACTTGGGGAGTGAATCATAAGACGGAAGATCTTTTTCTCTGACCTCTTCTCTGTATACCTGACTTTGCAATAAAAAATAATAAAATTATAAACAAATCTTCTTTTTTTTTTTAAAAAAAAAGGCACAAAGGGAGAAGGTGAGGTCATCCATCTGCTTTTTTATTGCCCAGGTTGTTGTGGCAGCCTGGTCTGTACCAGGCAGGAACCAGGAACTCTTGGCTCTCCTATAGTGGAAACCCTTAAGGGACTCCTTCCCTCACTGGCAGCAAAAAAAAAAAGAGAGAAAAGGCAAAAATGATAAATGCTTATAAACAGAAGCTTTTCCAGGGAAAGGGAGATGGAGGGGACTTTCTCTCCCATGGTGATGACAACTTCTATGTACATGGGCTGTCTTTAACTTTCTGGAAGGCTTTGTTCCTATTGTGTTTTTCTCATGATTGCACTTGAGGTCTTAAATGTTGAGAGTGACTGAGACTTTTACAGGTTATTTTAGCTTTTCTTTTAAAAAAAATATGAGCACCGATTCGGTTTGATTTTTAATCCAAAAGTATGTTAAACCCAATTTTGTGAATATTTTTCCTTACCGCTCTATAACTACATATGTGTATATGTGTTTGCGTGTGTGTGTTGTAGTTATTTACATTTATTTATGTTTTAACAGTATGTGAAAGCTGTGGTAACTCCAGAGTGTCTTCTGATACTGGATTATCGTAACCTGAATTTAGAGCCGTGGCTGTTCCGGGAACTCCCTTCACAGCTGGCCGGAGAGGGTCAGCTTGTCACGTATCCATTACCTTTTGAGTTCAGAGCGATAGAAGCACTCTTGCAATACTGGGTAAGCCTCTTTTTTTTGTTGTTTTTTTAAAGATTTGTTTTATTTTTATTGGAAAGGTGGATATACAGAGAGGAGAGACAGAGAGGAAGATCTTCCGTCCGATGATTCACTCCCCAAGTGAGCCACAACGGCCAATCCTATGCCAGTCCGAAGCCAGGAGCCTCTTCCGGGTCTCCCACGTGGGTGCAGGTTCCCAAGGCTTTGGGCCGTCCTCGACTACTTTCCCGGGCCACAGGCAGGGAGCTTGATGGGAAGCGGGGCTGCCGGGAATAGAACCGGCACCCATATGGGATCCCGGGCATGCAAGGCGAGGACCTTAACCATTGCGCCATCGTGCCGGGCCCCGGTAAGCCTCTTCTTAAAGAGCAAAGCAAAATTTATAAATCAGCTTTATTTGTATTTATTTGAGAAGCAGAAACAGTGAAACTCACCAAATAACCCCAGTAGCTGTGGCTGGGTCAAGCCGTAGTTAGGAGCCAAGAACCCACAGCCATTCCAAGTGTCCCCTGTGGGTGGTAGAGACCCTGTTCCTTGAGCTGTCGTGGCTGCCTTCCTGGGCCTGCATCCGCCAGAAGCTAGAGGCAGGAGCAAGGCACTGCAGTGTGGGATGCAGGCCTCTCAACCACTGGGCTGAGTACCTGCGTCAGGCCTCTCATTAGGTAACTGTTGGTGTATTCCTGCTCTGTAATGTCCTTGAGTAGGAAAACATTGATAATTTCATCAAAATACTGGAAGGTCCTGCATGATGACAGCACTTCTGTCTTATTCCTTAGAACTGAAGATTTTGCGCCTAATACGTCCATGGAGCATCTAGTAAGGCTCATGTCGAGTTAGCTTCCCTTTATACAGATGTATGCTTATTGAGGGATGGTGATTAAAAGTGCCCAAATTATAAATATGATACAAATTTACATATAAAATGTTTTAAGAAGTCCATCATTTTCTGTACAGACTCTTGAGGCAGCTAAACATAAATTGCTGTTCAAAACTCAGATTGACCTAGAAACACACAATTTGTCTAATCCCTGGCTTGTTAAAATGGTGGTCATTGGATGTTTGTGGAATCCCATTGAGCCCTGAGCAAAGGAGGTTCGCTGTTTTCCTGGTCCCCCACAAGCACTTTATCTTTTCTGCCCCATTAGGGTAGTACATGGAGGAACTGCCTGCAAAGACCCTTAGCTTCACAGTAATTGTGCTTCTGAGTAAAACAAGATGTGAGATTCAGCAGTGTCGAACAATGGGCTAAGCTGTGGCTTGTGATTCTGGCATCTGGTGTGAGTGCCAGTTGTCTGACTTCCAGTGCAGCTCCGTGCTAATGCTCCTGGAAACTGGGCCCCTGTCATCCATATGGTAAATGAGGGTGGAATTCTCGGCTCCTGGATTCAGCCTGGCATGGACCTAGCTGTTCTCACAGTTGGGGAAGTGAGCCGGTACATGGATGATAACCTCTCTCCGGCTTTCCCTCCTGTCTGATGCTCTACCTGATGCACTGCTTTTCAAATAAATGAAACACTGTGATAGAATTTTCCGTCAATTTTACTGTTTAATTAATGTTATGTTGTTTATGACAACTTTTATGGAAGTAGTTTAGTATTTTATGAATTATTATATTTGTGTAAGTGCATTTTTGCTAAATATTAGCCGTGTCTGTTACCCTAAATAAGGAGCATGTGTTTGCTTTTATAAAGTCCAAAATAACTTTGGATTTTCAGAAGTTTTAATCATAGCTATTTTGTGTTGTATTCTGTTTACAAAAAAAGACATACTGGTTTCTTTTTTAACTTTTTTTTTTTTTTAATTGGAAAGGCAGATATACAAAGAAGGAGATATAGAGAAAAGGTCTTCTGTCCACTTGTTCACTCCCCATGTGACCACAATGGCCAGGGCTGATCTGAAGCCAGGAGCTTCTTCCCAGTCTTCCCATGCGGCTGCACGGTTCCAAGGCTTTGGGCTAGCCTTGACTGCTTTCCTGGCCACAAGCAGGAAGCTGGATGCGAAGTGAAGCAGCCAGGACACTAACCTGCCTAAATGGGATCCTGGCATGTGCAAGGCAAGGATTTAGCTACTAGGCTATCGTGCTAAGCCCTGGTTTCTGTTTTAACTGTGGAATGGCAGGTTTTAATACATTGATTTCCCATTCCTTTCCTAATCAGTCTATCAGAGGAGTGGTTATCATTCTAAGAATGACTCCCCATCAGCCTCATGTCAGCCTAGTGATGCTTTTATGCTTAGTTATTTGCACCCAAGACATCAAGTGTTGGAGGCCTTTAGAAGAGGCCTTGCAGCACCGATCTCTTCTCAAGTGCTATGGCTGTTTCCAGCTGTTATGGGCTGCTGTGTTTAACTAGAGCATTTGCTGATCCCGAGTATTCTAAAAAGGTTATTTTAATCCTTATGAAAGGTCATGTTGTTATCTAGATCAACACTCTTCAAGGGAAACTCGACATTCTGCAGCCACTGATCCTTGAGACACTGGAAGCCTTAGTGGATCCCAAACACTCTTCTGTAGACAGAAGCAAACTGCATGTCTTACTGCAAAATGGCAAAAGGTGGGTAGGGTGGTTTACTGAGGTGGGTGTTAGAGACATGTCTCCCCCCTCTCTTTTTTTTTATGTTTACATAACTGAAGGATGCATGCCCATGTGTGGGCCACCAACTAGAGTGAGAAGGGTGGAGGAATAGAGGAAAGTGGATGAGACGATTGTTTCCAATTTTCTTTTTATTCTTCCTGTATCTGGGGGAAGGGGGAAGAGACGAGGAGAGGCCGCACCCAGCCTCCTAACTACATCGGTACCTGTGGTTAGGGAGTGGCCACCCGATATCATCCCAGGGTCCCTGCTGTGGAGCATGCTCTGAGGGTACTGCTCAAGTGGTTTCAAGAGTTCTGCAATGCTGTTGATAGTGTTGCCCCAGGGATGAGGATATTCTTCCAAGATCCATTGGTTGACATAGTCCACTTTAGATTCTCCATTCTGCCCTCCTTTGTTATGGTAGTAGATGTCCTCTGCAGACCCCAGTGAACTGCAATGTTCCCTCACGTGCATCTTACAAAACGTCCACTGCTCTGTCTTCAGCAGCTGAGGATGTCCAGTTCTGACACATGCACTCCACGGCCAGAATACAGATCCTGTGATATTCCCCATGGTTGGAGTTTTGAGTTCGGTAGTTTAGTGGGGGGGCGGGGAGGGAGAGGTTCCTCAAAGAAACTTCATCTGAGATGACCCTAGACCTGACTCTTGTGTGTGCCAGCCATTATAGGGACCGGCTCAGTCTGTCACCCACTTCATCTGGTGGTTGTAATTGCTGGTTCAGTTCTTTCTCCAGTCCCATCTCTCTCTCTCTCTCTTTTTTTTTTCTTTATTTTTGACATTCTTTACATAATTAGGGCACAAAGATTCAAGGGCTACAGCAAAATGGGTAAGACCATCATCTCCACATTGTTTTTTTTCCCCATATCTGGGGTAAAGGGGGAAATAACAGGAGAAGCTCCACCCAGTCTCCCACCCATCCCAGGTCCCTGATGTGGGGCATGCTCCGAGGGTCTTGCTCAAGTGGTTTTGATAGTTCAACACTTATGAACTACTGCCAGTCTTGCCATTCCAAGCATGATGAGATCGCTACAGAATCCACTGATTGACATAGTCCATCTGAGACTGTCCATTTGCCCAGTTTTTCACTGCCAACGTATGGCTGGGGTAGTTGATTGACTTGTTCTGTTCTCTGTCTTTTCATAGTTAGGGTTCCGAGTCCGGCAGTTTGAGTGGGGAGATCTCAAAAGAAACCTTGAGGTGATCCCAGACCAGATTCTTGTGTGTTCTTGTAACTATAGGGCCTGGTAAGGTCCATTGCCCCAATCAGCTGGTGGATGCAATTCCTGGATCGGTTCTGTTTCCAGCCCCAAATTCCACTGGAACCAATGGGTGTTGCAGTCCAGCCTGATTCTGCCCAGCACACACTCGGCTCTCACATAAACCAGTGGGAGTTGCAGCCTAGTCAGAGAAACCTACAATAACCCCCACCAGGCCCACCCCTTACCCTGGTTTGCCAGTCTGTGCAGCAGACTAGTCCAGTCTGTCCCACATCCCATTCAGCTCTCATACATGTCAATGGACATTGAAGCCTAGTTCAACCATACCAGTTCCACTATCCAGCCCACACACATGCTGTTGGGTGCCTTTTTTGCCTAGCCACCCCTTCCCCTCTCCTGTCCTGGTTTTCATGCCCTCCAATGGGAGTGGTAACCCAAGAGGAAGGAGTCCACTATTTCCCTTCTAGGCCACTCCCACTCCTGGATTATGCACTTTCCAGGTGGTTCTGCAGTGTAACTTGACAGATTTAGCCCCCAGTGCCAGCTTCTGCCAGCTGATGCTGCGGCAAAGCCCAACCAACCCTCATCCACTCTAATTTTTGCTTATACCAGTTGGAATAGTTAGCCCAGCCTGGCTTTTCCCTGATCTAGTCCACATGAGGCACACAGGTGTTATAGCCCTGTCCACTTCCTGTCTTAGCAGGAGCAGTGACTTTTCCTGACTGGCCTTCAACCCTATCTGTTTCTTACTGTTGGATGTTTCAGCCCAGCCATGGCTCGTCCATACCCAAATGCAGCTCACACATGGCTTGGTAGGGGCTGAGACCTGGCCTTGTCTGTCCCACATTTACCCTGGTCCTCCAGAGCACCAGATGGTGTTGGAGTCTAGCCTGGGACTGGTGCATCCAGTCCCAGTCCAGATCAGAACGCAGCCCCCATTCTAGCCCCTGCGCTCCTCGGTGGGAAATATCACCCCAACTAGGGTGTTCCCTTAGCTCCCCAACTGGGCCTGTTCCCAGCCATAGGTCATGCGCATGCCAGTAGTTGCTCTGACTCAGCTTGGTTCAGCCCCCCTCCTGTGCCCGGCCCTTGCCTTAGACACTGTGGCTTAGCGTCCCTGGCTCACGCAGACCAGTAGGTGCAAGAGCCTAGCTCCACATGACCCGTGCCCCATCCTGATTTCTAATTTTGCTTTTGTCCTAAGATTAGCTCAGTCCTGCCTGGTCACCCTGTTCCATTTTCAATCCACTCATTAGCCAGCCATTGGAGCTACTTTGCCCAGCTTGTCCGACCCCCAGGTCTGGACCATGTGTTCACCATCGGGAGTTATGACCCGCCAGGGGAGTTTCCCAAGTTCCTCTACTTAACCCACTCCCAGTCCCAGTTCTTCTACATGCCAGTGTCAGGCATAGTCTGTCCTTCCATTTGGCCTTGGATGAGCTGGTGAACGTTGCAGCTAGGCCCACCCCACACCCTATTGAGGATGCACATTTGGGTGCTGCTACCTTGACCAGTCCAAACTGTTATCAGTTCCTATATCCGTGAGTGATGGCAGATTCCGTAGTCACACGTAGCTTAGTCCATCACCACCCTAACTTTTGAGCTAAACAGTGGTGCTAGATTTTCACAGGGTTTGGCCCACACATCCCCTTCAGAATCTATCCCTGGATATGATTCTCTCTTGTGCTAGTTAATGTTTTGGCCCTGCCTAATGTGACCCGTCTCCTGGTCCATCATGTCAGGTAATAGGATATGATCCTGCTAGGCAAGCCCGAGCCTTAGCTTTTGCTTGGACTGGTGTTCAGTGGTCAGCTTTGTTCAGTGATTACAAGTTCTACACAGGATTGATAGCAGGTTCATATGTCAGACTTTTCCATAAAGATCATCTGGTCCCTCTCATCAAACCTACCAGGTCTCATTACCTTTGCTTACCTTAAAAGGAAAAGTTACTCTTTCATTGGGAGTTTTTACGATTGATTAACATCCCAAAAGTACAGTAGGCTTAACTTGAAGATACCTAAGCAGCAATTCAAAGCCCCAAAACCCCAGAGCTGGCCACCGGGCAGCGAACAGGCGGACCTCCCAGGGACAAGTCACGTTGAAGGCGAGCATTTTAGCCGCTAGGCCATGCTGCTGGGTCCCGCATCCCCATCTCTTACACAATCAAAATATGCTGTGGCCCAGTGCAACCCTGCCTACCTCATACTTGGCCCTCACGTACACCAGCAGTAACTGCAGCCCAGTTGGAATGACCCCCAACCCTTGTACCAGCAAATGCCAGTGTTTGCAGCTGACTGGGCAGGTCTGTTCCACATCTCATTCATCTTTTGTACACACCAGTGGATGCTGCAGTGTAGTTCAGCCCAACTGACCCCACTATTCAGCCCACACTTGTGTTGGTAGGTACCACTGCCTGTCTAGCACGACCTGCCCACAACCCTGGTTCTCAAGCTCTCTAGTGGGAGTTACAGCCCATCAGAGAGGTGCCCATAGTTTCCCTACTGGGCCCAGATCTTGCACTTTCCAGGTGGTTCTGCAGTCTAGCGTAACAGGATTTGCCCCCCATTCCCAGCACTTGCCAGCTGATGCTGCACAAAGCCCGACCATCATGCACTTACATGAATGTCCCTGTGTATCCAGTGAATACAGTTAGTTATCCAAGCGTGGATCTTCCCCTAACCCACCTCACATTCAGATCAGTGGGTGTTGTATCTCTGCCAGGCCTGCTCTGCCCCAGTCCCAGTTCTCACACTAGCCAGCAGGAGGAGTGACCCATCAGTTGAATTCCTGCAACCCCCCTTACCAGGCTCACCTCCTCACGTGGGTCTCATGTGCTGGTGGGCACCGTGGCTGAGTTTGGCATTGTCCACCTCACCTTGGCATTTGCTGGTGTTTATTGCTGCCTGGCTTGACCCTGAATGCCCCCAGTTCCGGCTCATGCTGGCAGGTGCTGAAGATCAGCCCAGACTGGACTGTCCACAGTCCTGGCCGTAATGTGAACTGGCTGGTGTTGTGGCACAACCAAGCTACGCCTCATTCTGGTTCCCACGTCTGCCAGTTTATGGTATAAACTGGCCCAGCTGGGTCTGTCCCTAGGCCTACCTGACACACATGTATACCAGCAGGTACTGCAACCTGACCTGGTCTGGGCTGCTCCCAGTATTAGTTGTTGGTGTTCACCTGCAGGGACTATGTGCTGTCAGGGGAGTTCCACAATCTTCTCTAATGGGTCACTCCCTAGTGTCAGATCTCACACACTGGTGGGTCCTTGGCTCAGCCTAACTTGGCCCACCTCCTGTCCTGGCAGGTACAGAGGCCTTGCCTGACTGGCTCACCCCCATTCTGGCTCTTACTGCATGATGCTGCAGCCTAGCCATGTCTGACCAGCCTCCAGACCCAGCTTTAATGTGGCTCAGCAAAGACCTAGCCCAGGCTGTCCTACATGCAACCTGGCTCTGGTGAGCACTGGTGGGTGCAAGAGTCTAACCCAGTCTCCACCCATACTGAGGTATACTGCAGCCTTGTCCAGCCAAGTTCACTGCCTGCATTCTAGCTCTGTGTTCACTGTTGGGAACTACATCCCAGCCGGGATGTCCCCTTACCTCCCTGACTAGGCCTGCTTCCAGCCACAGATCCTATATGGGATCCCATATAGGCTCCAGTTCATATCCTGGATGTTCCACTTCTTTCCAGCTCCCTGCTTGTGGCCCGGGAAAGCAGTCGAGGACAACCGAAAACCTTGGGACCCTGCACCTGCATGGGATACCCAGAAGAATGTCCTGGCTTCTGGCTTCAAATTGGTTCAGCTCTGACCATTGCAGCCACTTGCAGAGTAAAAACCAATGGAAGAAAGATCTTTGTCTCTCCTCTCTATAAAATTTGACTTTCCAATAAAAATAAGTTTTTTAAAAATTAACTGTTAAAATGATCAGGTCAGTAGTTTGTTTTCTTATTTATTTGAGAGGCAGTGTTAGAGCAGGTTGTCCATCTATTGGTTCACTCCCCAAATGGCTGTGATGGCCAGGGCTGGCTGAAGCCAGGAGTTTCTTCTGGGTTCTCCACTGAAGTATAGGGGCCCAAGCATTTGGGCCAGCTTCTACTGCTTTGTCAGATGCATTAGCAAGGAGCTGGATGGAAAGTTGAGCAGCTGGGAGACGACCTGGTGTCCATATGGGTGCAACCATCACAGGCTGCTAGCCAAAATATGGGCGCATAGTTTCTTGTTTATTATCAAAGTGAATGCTGAAATTTGTTGATTAAATTTACCAATTAATGTATAGTTGGTTAAAAACTTTGGGAATTCTTAATCTTTTGTATGCTTTGTATCAAATCTGCCATGAATGTATGCTGAAGTAGATCTATGTAATGAGATTTTCTAATCGTCTGATAATGAAATGTTTTCATAAGTGTAGGTTACTAATATGTCTGCACAATTGTTCTTACAGCCTTTCAGAATTAGAAACAGACATTAAAATTTTCAAAGAGTCGATGTTGGAGATCTTGGATGAAGAAGAACTGCTAGAAGAGCTCTGTCTGACAAAATGGAGTGACCCACACGTATTGTAAGTAAAACCATACTCTTCCTTAAGGGGAATCTTGTGTCCTTCCATTGAATGATGTTCCTAGGCAATGTAAGCATTTTCCATCCTTGTATTTTGCTTTGTCCCAGCAATCTCATTCAGTAATACAAGGAGATTCCCAGTGTGTTACACTGTTGCTGGACTGGAATGGATGTGAAGACAAGCACACAGTTAGGTTTGTCTTCAAGGAATGAATACCAGATGGCACACCTCTATTGTGGGAACTTAGCAGATGGAACAGAGCAGTGGGGGAGAGATTCTTGTTGGGAAGAAGGTGGGACCAGGCAGGATGAGTAGGGCATGGATCTGTAAGCTTGGTCTGGTTTTAGAATGTCAGTCTTGTATTTTTGTCTTTAATGAATTTAAAAATCATTTACTCATTTTGCTTGTGCATACTGAAGTTAATGCTCACTTTTTAAAATACATTATTTTTAACTGACGTGGTAATTGTACCTATTTAAGGGATTATATTATAACTTGTTTTTTAAGATTTATTTTGTTTTTATTGGAAAGGCGGATATACAGAGAGGAGGAGAGACAGAGAGGAAGATCTTCCGTCCGATGATTCACTCCCCAAGTGAGCGCAACAGTCGATGCTATGCCGATCCGAAGCCAGGAGCCTCCTCCGGGTCTCCCACTTGGGTGCAGTTTCCCAAAGCTTTGGGACATCCTTGACTGCTTTCCCAGGCCACAGGCAGGGAGCTGGATGGGAAGCGGGGCTGCCGGGATTAGAACCTGCGCCCATATGGGATCCCGGCACGTGCAAGGCGAGGACCTTGACCACTGCACCACCGCACCAGGCCCACATTATAACTTTTCAATACACCTTTTTGATACGGAATAGTCAGGTCAGGGTAGAGTAACTGACAGGATACTACTATCTGTATGTTGTATATTAAAATGTTTCTCATCCCCGTATAATGCATGTGTATTTTCTTGGGGTAAAGGACAGTATTTCAGCACGTGTGCAAGTTAGACACATCACTGTCCTTCCTTTTAGGTTTGGAGCCTCCCAGCCCCTCCCCTTAGTTCTTCATGGACCATGTGTCATGTTACTGTGAACAGAAGTCACCCTCGGTACTGGGGAACACTCTACCCGCCATTTCTGTCTGTATTTTGGTACCTGTCACCCGGCTCTCCTAAACCTCCTTTCTCCTCAATCTCTCTTAATCATTGTGCTTAGTTTAGAATAACTTTTCCTGAGAGAACATGCTTTGTTTTTTGGGTAAAAACTCTTGTAACTGATGAAAGCTGATAAGCTGATACTTCATTCTGTTTTTCATTTGCAGTTTCCTAATGGCTGTTCTCTAGTTGTTGGCCATTTACATTTCTTCTTCTTTTTTTTTTGAGAAATGTGTATTCAGATCCTTTGCCTATTTATTATAATTTATTATTTGTTAGGATTTTCAAAGTTCTTTTTATGTTCTCAATACTAATCCTGAATATGGTTTAAAATCTTTTTATCCCATTATGTCTGTTGTCTCTTTTTTTTTTTCCTTTGCTCTGGAGAAGCTTCTTAGTTTATCTTCTTAGTTAACCTCTTTGTTTATCTTCTTGGTTAACTGTTTTTACTTCCTTACCTGTGTTTTTGGAGTAGTATCCAAAAGAAAACCCAGCCTATATGCAATCTCCTGAAGTGTTCACCCTGGTTCTTTCCTAGTATTTTCAGAGTTTCAGATGTTAACTTTAGACGTTTGATGCATTTGGAGCCAGCTTTTATGTAGGGTGAAATGTTGGGTTTGAGTGTCAATCCTTTGCCTTCTTGTCTGGTCTTTAGTCTATGCCTTGGATGCCTTTGTTCAGAATCACTTGGCTGTAAACGCATGAATTAATTTCTGGATCAGTATTCAGTCCTACTGCTCCATTTCTGTGCCACTGTGGTGGTATTTTAGTTACAGTAGCTTTGTATTGTATCTTGGAATCCCACATTGTGATTCCTCCAGCTTTGTTCTTTTGTTCATAAGTCCTTTCGTTATGTATGGTCACCTGAGCTTCTATAGGACTTTTAGCAGTGTTTTCTAGTTCTGTGAAAATGACATTAGTATTTTTATGTGAACTATATTGCTCCTGTGCATCTGTGGGGAGTGGTGCGCTGGGAGCTAACCCCACGCGTATGAGGGGCCGTGGCAAGATGGCGGCTGGCCTAGGGCCAGGAGGCAGAGTTGGTCTCGCCAACAGGTAAACAGGAAGTCACAGGGATAGGCTAATGCCCTCGTGGCAATTATGTCATTGCTACTGGCCTATCACGTAGCACCAATTGGACCCACGGGGAGAAGTGATTGGTGGAGAGCTGTACATAAGCAGCCCGCTTTCAGCAATAAACCTCTTTTCATTCGCCCTCCCGCTTGTTCGCTCGTTTGTTCCTCTGTGTGTTCCAGTTGCGGTGGCGGTTCTTGTTTTTCCAGGCCCTCAAGATTCCTCGTCATTTTAGTGTCGCTGCAGGACGGCGGCAGCATCAACTTGGTCATATGGACATGTTAATATTAAGTCCTTTGATCCATGAATAGAGATTTTTCCATTTGCTCATGCCTTCTTAAAATTTTTATAAGCATTTTTCTGTGTAGCCTGTAGGATAGTTGATTAGCTCTGTAGGAAGAGTATTAAGAGAGGACATTGGGAAGCCTTCCCCGTGTGGAGCCACTGCCAGCTGCAATCCTTTGGGAATGAATAGGCCAGGAACTCCCTAATCCTCAGGGTTATGTGACACGTCAAAGAGAAAGGCGTCCTCCTGCCCAGATTCTTCCCTCCTGTCTTAATTTTTTCCTCCTAAATTTTACAATGGTGTGTTTTCATTTCACTTCACAGTCATAGGCTTAAACTCCATTAGGTAAAGATATCAACCCCTAACCAGTAGAAAAAAAAAATTCCTCGGTGAATAGAATAACAATCAACTACCAGGATGTCAGTCTGACTCAGATAGATTACGTTTTTGGACTGTGTATTATCACAGATCAGGGAAAACTGGATTATTTGCCTAGGCATAATGGTCTCTCCAGCTGCATCCCTGTAGTTGCAAAGATAAGATTGCATTCTTTTTTGTGGCCGAGTGGGTATTCCATAGTGTATATATATACTACATTATTCAGGCACCAGTTGATGAGCATCTGGGATGAAAGCATAACGGTATAGATAACTTTCATATGCTGATTTGCTTTCATCTGGATAAACTCCCAGGAGTGGGATGGCTGGGTCACATGGTAGGTGTATTTTCAGTTATCTGAGACGTCTCCGTATGTGTTCCGTAATATTGCACTGGTTTACATTCCCACTGATAGTGGATTAAAGGTACCTTTGCCCCCTCATCCTTGCAACATTTACTGTTTGCTATATGATAGCCATTCGCACTAGGGTGAGGTGAACCCTACTGTGGTTTTTCTTTGCATTTCCTGATTTCAAAATTCAGGTGATACTTCCCTCATAAAAGGGGCTTGGGGGGTTCTTTCCATTTCAGCTGTTTTGAATAACTTGAGAATTGGAATTAGTTCTAAGAAAGTTCAGTGGAATTCGGAAGTGAAGCCATCTCCTGGGCTGTTCTTTTGTTAGGAAGGTCTTACTTGCTGATTCAGTCTCTAATTATTGACCTTCTTAGGTTTTCAGTGACCTCATGACTTAGTTTCAGTAGATTGTATCTGTCCAGAAATCTGTCCATTTCTTCTAGATTTTCCAACTTGTGGGAGTATAGCTGTTTGTAGTAATTCCTGATATTCTTTTGTGACTGTTACATTTGTCATATTTCCTTTTCCGCTCTGATTTTTTTTTATTGATATTCCCCCCACACACACCTTTTTATTTTGGTTAGGTGGGTCAGTAGTGTATCAATTTTGTTTATTTTTTTAAAAAGTTCTTCACTTATTAATATGTATATATATGTGTATATATAGTTTCAAATTTTATTTCTTCCTACTAGTTTTGTGTTTTGGTTTGTTGTTCCTGAGTTCTGGAGAGGCACTTGTTGTGTATTTGATGCCTTTCTCGTTTCTTATTTCTAGGTACTAATTGCTGTGAACCCCCTCCGAGCACTGCTCTCGCTGTGTCCTCTAAGTTGTGACATATTGGGCTGTCATCTTCATTCATTTCCAGGAATGTCTTGATCTGCCTTTATTTTTCTGTTTTTTTTTTTTCACTAGCCTGTTGGTCTCCATATGTTTGTGTATTTTCTGGTTTGGGTGGGTTTTTTTTTTTTTTTTTTTGAGTTGTTGATTTCCTGCTGGTCAGAAAAGATGCTGGTATGATATGGATTCTTTTGAATTTGCTGAGCTTGTTTTGGGGCCTAGTCACGTGGTCTAGCCTAACAAAGTTCTGTGGAATGTGTATCCTGAGGGCTGGCACAGTGGCTTAGTGTGTTAAGTCTCTCCGTGTGGCACTGGCATCCCATAGGGGTGCTAGTTTGTGTCTTGGCAGCTACTCTTCCAATGCAGCTCCTTATTTAAGACCTTGGAAGGCAGCAGAGGATGATGTAGGTCCTTGGGTCCCAGCCCCCATATAGACCTGGAAGAACTGGCTCCTGACTTCACCTCACCTTAGCTCTGGCTGTTGTGGCCATTTGGGACGTGAATCAGCAGATGAGAGATCTCCCTGTCTATCTGTCCTCTCTGTAAAAATTTTCAAATAAAAATAAATGAATTGTTTAGAAAAATGTATATTCTGCATCTGTGGGTTGAAATGTTCTGTAGATATGTTAGGTCCATTTGATCCATGGTGTTGATAAGCTCTGCTGTTTGAGTTTCTGTCTAGTTGATCTATCCACTGATGAAAGTGGGGTACTGAAGTCCCCCATTATTGTTGTGTTGGAATCTGTGTATCCTGTTACATCCATACAGGTGCCCTGGCCTTGGACACGTAAACATTTTCTATAGTCATGTCTACTTGTTCAGTTGATCCCTTTGGTTTCACTTAATGCCCTTCTTGATTTCCTTTAATATTTTTGTTTTAAAGTCTATTTTATTTAACATTAGGATGGCTAAACCTGCTCATTTTTCCTTTCTATTGATGTGGAATATCGTTTTCCATCCTTTAACTCTCAGTCTGTGTGTATTTTTGTTGGCAAGGGGTGTTTCTTGTCGGCAGCAAATAGATAGGCCTTGTTTTTAATCCAGTCCTCCAGTCTATATTTTTTTATTGGAGATTTTAAGCCATTTGTGTTTTTATTGACAGGTGGCAACTTGGTTCTATCTTTTTAACATAAAGCTCTTATCGTTTGCTTTAGATGAACTTTGTAGCTTTACTAGGAAATCCTCTGCCTTCTTTGGTTATCATTCTCTCTGTGTGTAGCACATCCTTAAGCAGCATTTTAGGAGTCGGTGGGTGAGTGGTGGAAAATTCTTTCAGTTTGTTTTGAAAGGTCTTCACCTCAGGTAAATGAAAGCTTTGCTGACTAGTGTGTTATGAATTGGCAGTTTCTTTCTGTTGGGACCTGGCATTTCTCTCTCTTTCCTGGCCTGTAGGGTTTCTGATGAGAAATAAGCTCTAAGTCTGATTGGAGATTCTCTGAAGATAATCTGTCTTTTCACCCATGCGCATTTTAGAATTTTTTTCTTTGTGTTCAGTGTTGTTGTGTTCAGGCGAGTGTTACAGAGAACTCAGTAGTAGACATACTTCCAGAAGGCATAGACAGCATCGCTGTGTGGCAGCCTGTAACTGAAGTTCTCTGGCAGAAAGACGGGACAGGTGCTGATGACAGAGTAGCAGGTGATGTTCTCTGATATGGGAACGCGCAGGACTACGCCAACCCCCGTGTTCATACATGAGCCAAGACGGAGGAGTGAGGTCCCCGCAGGTCAGGGCGGAGGCAGAATATATGCCTCGCTCCTCCAGAGGAGCTAATCCACCAGTATCCAGACCGGAGGGCGTAATCGTGCTGGAGACACTGATCAGCGGGCAAAGCCTGCCACACTGGGACTGAGAACACCCTGAAACAGCTGTGACCTCAGTGTGCACCTGGGCTTACATGAGCACGTGCCTGGATATCCATGGGTGTCTGCTAAACCCTGATGGCAAACACATTTCACTGGTTCCAGCAAGAAGATACATCCGTATTTTACACTAATTTATCATCTCATTGATTCCATCAAGAAATGGGTCCATATTCCCCACTGACTTAGAGCCCAGACCAGAGGCTGGGCAAGGAGCCGCACACATTGGGTACTGACCAACCTGCCCGCAGACCTGAGAAGTAAGCAGGCAAGGTGGAGAACTGCACAGGTGGCTGGTGTCAGGCGGGGCTGACTCGTGGTGCTGAGTAAAGAATCAGTATCCTGTGACTGTGGGAGTCTTGTGCACAAAAACTAAGAATTCTGTGCACGATTGGGTGTAGTGTGTAAAGTAGCTGCATCTCGGGACACAAAAAGAACCACACACAGAGATCTCTCACGCGGTGTGTGTTCTTGCGTGGGCAAGGGTCATAGCTACCGTTACTTCCCAAGTGGCCACAACAGCCAGGGCTCAGCCAGGCCCAAGCCGGGAGCCCAGAACTCCATCCACGTCCCTGTGGGTAACAGGAGCCCAAGCACTTAGGCCATCTTGGGCTGCTTTTCCCAGGCAGCTTGGATCAGAAATGGAGCCGCTGAGAACCAGCGCCATGCAGACTGCTGGCGTTGCAGAGGGCATCTTCACTGATATGTCACAACACAGCACTGGCACCAGCAATTTGTGATTTGTTTTTGATAGTTTGTTTACATTATTCCTTGGGGCGATTTTTTTTTTCTGGGAGGGGGCGTTGGTAGGGGAGAAGAACAGAGGGGTGGGAAGAGTGCCGGATTGCTTGGAACTCCTTTAGGCTTCCTGGGCCTCCGTGTCTGCATCTTTCTACAGATTTCCAAAGTTTTCAGCAGTTCCACTGAATAGATTTTCTTTGGCCTTTTCTTTTGCTTAAGAAACACCCATGAAGCTATTTTCTTCTTAAATTACACAACAACCAAAGAAAAGGACTTGGAGTTGCAAAGCTTTTTCCTGCCCAAACCTGTTGAGACTCTCAGCTGTATCTTTTTAATTCTACTTTCTGAGTTCCTGCTTGCCATGATTTCTGATTGACTTTCTTATGTCTCTGCTAAATCTCTGGTGTCATATTTTCTCCCTTATGCCACCAGATTGTTAGTATTCTCCTATGTCCCTTCAGCTTCCTTGACATCATCATTTCTGCTTCTTCATGGGCAACCTGTAACTGCCTTTTCTCCGTGGCGTGTCGCTGTGAGTCACTGTGTTCCCCTGGAGGCGTCCTGTTGCTCTCTCTCTTGTTGGTTTAGGTGCATCTGTCATATCCCTTCCATCAGGCCAGCCTGTTTGTAGCAGAGGGTTTTTCTTGGGTGTTGATTGGTGTGCTGTGTTGGCTTTGGTTCCACGAGGTGCTTTACTAACCCTGTTACTTCTTCAGCTGAAGTCAGTATCGGTAGTGTGTGCTGGTGTGTCTCAGTGGCCTGGGTTGCAGGGGTTGTGGGATTGCACTGCCAGTTGAGGCACAGCTTCTTAAGCCAGGCCAGTTCACTGGCAGCTCCGTGGGGTGTGTTCAGTTGTAAGTGTGGTGCTTCTGTTGATTTCTGCGTCATGGAAGTGTGGAACCACCCCCTGTGTACCTAGCTGAGGGTAGCACCTCGATTGGAGGGATGGCTGCCAGTGTCTAAATGCCTCAGGTGTCTGGCACACGTGAGACTGCCGGGACCTCCTGCTCTTTCATAACCTAGTGAAGTCCCTTTGGCATCAGGGTCTATCTGAAGGGAATGGCAGGTGCTGTACGCATAGTACTTCTCTGTGCTCTGTAGCATCTTATCCTGTGCTCAAGTTCCCAGAGGGTAGGGTCATCCTGGGTGATGTGCTGAGTGTGAAGGAGGGGGACTGTAGGCTGCCTGGCTGACATAGCTCTGCAGGCTCAGCCCATGGGTACTGACGTGGGCACAGGGGCTGGGGTGCTCAGTCCATGGGTACTGTCATGGGCATGGGGACTAAGGTTCTCAGTCCTTGGGTACTGACATGGGCACGGGAATTGTGGTGCTCAGTCCTTAGGTACTGACATGGGCACGGAAGCTGTGGTGCTCAGTCCATGGGTACTGATGTGGGCACAGGGGCTCTGGTGGTCAGTCCTTGGGTGCTAACGTGGGCACAAGGGCCGTGGTGTTCAGTCCATGTGTACTGATGTGGGCACGGGAGCTGTGGTGCTCAGTCCATGGGTACTGATATGGGCACAGGGTGCTGTGGTGCTCTGTGGGCCTCCCCAACTTTGCGTTTTACTTTGGCAAGCCTGCCATGCCAAGACTGAATTCCCTCCTCTCCCTAAGCAGGATATTTCTACGTTGTACTCTGCTCCCAGAGTTGTTGAAAGGGTGATTCATTCATCTGCTCGCCACCCTTTTCAATCCCAGGCATTGTGGCCTTGTTCCCCCAGCTCTTGTGAAGATGGTGTAGTAAATGAGTTGTTCTAATTAATGTTTTGAGTATGTTACTCAGCTGCTTTTTTTTTTAAGATTTATTTATTATTATTGGAAGGCCAGATATACAGAGAGAAGGAGAAACAAAATTTTTGATCCTAATTTGCTCTCCAAGTGGCCACAACATCTAAAGCTAAGCCAGAAGCCTAGAGCTTCTTCCGGGTCTCCCACACAGGTGCAGGGTCCCAAGGCTTTGGGCCATCCTCGACTGCTTTCCCAGGCCATAAGCAGGGAGCTGAAAGGGAAGTATAGCAGGCGGGATATGAACCAGCAGCCATAGGGGATCCCGGTGTGTTCAAGTTGAGAACTTTAATCACTAGTCTGTTGCGCCTGATCCATCAACTGCTATCTTCACTGTTTCACTTTTGATGTTTTACTTTTGAAATATCCAAATGTTTCATTGTTGTTCTTTGCAGAGCAGTATCAGAAATTAGGTCATTTTCTATGTGGAATTTCCATGATCAATATAGATTCTTCATAACATTTTGAAAAGTTGGCTAGACAGAATGAAGGTACAGTGTAAGAGATTTGAGGGGCTGGTGCTGTGTCGCAATGGGTAAGCTGCACCCCATGTGGGTGTTCAAGTGCCAACTAGTCCACTTGTGATCCAGCTCCCTGCTAATACACCCAGGAGAGCAGCGGAAGATGGCCCAGGTTCCTGCGTCCCAGCTCAGCCCAGGTGCTTGTGGTCATCCAGGGAGTGAAGCAGTGAGTGGAATACCTTTGCGTTTCCTTCTCTCTGAAACCCTGCCATTCAAATAACATAATCCATCTCTTTTAAAAAATTATTTTGAACACTACAATTCTTAATTCCTGGCTTCAGCTGCTCTATATTGCCTTTTAATCAAATTACCTTGTACAGAATTCCCTGTAACCTTACCGTCTTTGAAGGGGAAATAGAGCAAACAGCAATTGTGTGTTTTGCATGGAGATTACATTACGTACACATTTTGAAAGGGAAATTGTCTTTGTGCTTTTCTGTCTGCGTTTTGTTTCACCGGATAGCGGTTTGGGATCTACACTAACTCATCAGTAGTTACAGCCTAGATTTACCTGTCAGTGGTAACACATGTTTGCTGGTCTCAGCCTGGGGCCTCGGAACGCAGCGATGCTTACTAGCTTGTAGGGGGATGGAACACGAACCTGAACTTGTCAGAGTAGCACCTGGCGTCAGCTGACAGCCACTCAGAGTGGCCTCAATCACAACCATAGAAAAGCAAAGGCCAGGTTTTTCACTGGCGGTTGAATAGAACACGCTAATCCAGGAAGTTTGGGAGTGTTTTAATAAGGCCAACTGTTTGCATTGAAGTGAGAAGAGCAGTTCCGGGATTGACCACGCAGAGGAGATGGAGCTCCTGTTGGAGAACTACTACCGCTTGGCTGAGGACCTCTCCAACGCGGCTCGGGAGCTCAGGGCACTGATCGATGACTCGCAGAGCATCATCTTCATCAACTTGGACAGGTGTGGAAACAGTTCATAGGTGCTGTCTTTGTAACGCAATTAAAGGACTTGTTTTGTGGCAAATTGGATAAAACCACCACCTGTGATACTGAGTATCCCATGTGGGTATTGGTTCATGTCCTGGCTGCTCACTTCTGATCCAGCTCCCTGCTGATGACCTGGAAAAAGCAGTGGACAATGGCCATATTATTTGAGCGCTTGCAAGTCATGTGGGAGACCCAGGTGAAGCTCCTGGTTCCAGCTTCAGCCTGAATCGGCCCTGGCCATTGCAGTGGAGGGAGAGGGGGAAAGTGAACCAGTGGATAGGAAAACTCTAACTCTGACCTTTTTTTTTTTTTTTTTTTTTTTTTAAAGATTTACTTATTTTCATTGGAAAGGCAGACTTACAGAGAGAAGTAGACAGAAATATCTTCCATCCATTAGTTCACTCCCCTTATAGGTAGTTGCAGTGGTGAGTGCTGAGCTGATCCAAAGCTGGGAGCCAGGAGCCTCTTTCAAAGTCTCCCACATGAGTTCAGGGTCCCAGGGAGCTGAGCCATCCTCCTCTGCTTTCCCAGGCACAAGCAGGGAGTTGGGTGGGAAGTGGAGCAGCTGGGACACAAGCCAGCATCCATGTGGAATGTCAGCACTTGGAGGATTCGGCAGTTGAGCCATTGTGTCAGCCCCTGACTTGCAAATCTTTTAAAAAATTATTCTAAGTAAAGTTTGCAAAGAAGTAACATTTGGAAGGAATTGTACCAGCAGCATCTGTAACTACTGTAAAGAAATTTTTTTTCAAAGGTGTAGATTTAGCCCATGTGGTTTTTATTTAGTGATTCTGCTCTACGTAGTGGCCCTTCTCACCTGAGAATTCTCTTTCCCAGCCACCGTAATGTGATGATGAGGTTGAACCTGCAGCTGACCATGGGAACCTTCTCTCTCTCTCTCTTTGGACTCATGGGAGTTGCTTTTGGAATGAATTTGGAATCTTCCCTTGAAGAGGTAAGAAGATACCATTTCAGTAACTTAGGGATTCTTTTTTATTGTGTTGAAGGTCAGTTGTTAATATTTCAAGACTAACCTGTGAAATACATATTGTGTGACAGGACAGTATTGTCAGTCTCTACTATAACATGTGTATGTCTGTGCCAGTCTGCTTGATGTCTTACTTGCAATGAATGGCCCACAGGGTAAGTTTAATAACCCAGTGTTAAACTCTGAGGCAGTGTCCATGAAGAGTGCTTATGTTTTAACTATTTTTTTAAAATTAATTAATTGGTTTTATTTATTTCAGTGACAGGGAGAGAGAGGGGACATGTCACATCCACTAGGTCACATACCCAGCATATCCACAGTAAGGCAAAGCTGGGCTCAAGGCATGAGCTCAATGGCAAGGCGCCAGCTGCCCCCATTGTATACATTAGCCACAGGCTGGACTCGAGCTGAGCCGCAACTCTAAGCACTTGGATGCAGGATGCAAGTGTATCAAGTCACTTATCTTTTAAAATATATTTTTATTTATTTCAAAGGCAGAACCAGATGGAGAGACTGAGATCTTGCATCTGCTGGTTCACGCCCCAGATGGCTGCAAGGGCCTGGGTTGAGCCAGAAGGAAGCCAGAAGGAGCCAGGAGCTTCCTCTGGGTCTCCCCATAGGTACAGGGACCCAGGCACTTGTGCCATCTTGCGTTGCTTTACCAGGCCACCAAAAGGTAGCTGGATCGGAACTGGAGTAGCTGGGACCTGAACCAGTGCCCACATGGATGCCAGTGTCACAGGACAGCAGCTTTTCCCACAACACTAGCCCCACCAGGCTGCACCTCAATCACTATGTGGAATATCCACTCCGATTTTTTAATTGCCGCAGTGTGCACACTTTATTTAGCTCAGTCATCATAACTGTAAAAGTAAACATTCATCCATAATTTATAGATAGAAAAATGTGAGGCTCAGAAAATGTAGCAAACTTGTTTAGTGTGAAGCTAGAAAATAAGAGTTAGGATTTGAACCAGGACTTCCCTTGCGGGTTGGCTCACCGCATTCCACACAGATCTCCCTTATACCTGAGCGCTTCCCAGCTGTGACTCTGAATGTGCATTTAGCCCACTGGGGTGCGGAGTGTAGGGTTCCAGTCATCTCACAGGCCAGTTCTCTGTTGCCCCCAGGCTGATAATTCCCTCAAGGTGCAGAGCCTCCTGAGTCGGAGGGCTTGCCCTGTCCCTGCTGCATCTCCCGTGTGCAGCTCCTCCAGCGTTCCTTTCCACACTGGCTGCTTCCACCTTTCCGCCCTCAGGTTGTCTTTTTATTTTAAACCTGGGTAGTACCATCTGTCTCAGCCATTGGCTTTATGTGCCCTTTCACTGGCTGTTACCCCAAGCCCCACGGTTGTATATGCCTCAGATAAGAAAGCAGTGGCCCCAGGAGGGCAGGGTGTGCCCAGACCTCTGCTCCCAGAAGCCCACGGGATTTGGGGCTTGGTTGGCCTCTGATGTGGCTTGCTTCTGAATTGCAGCACGTTTTTGGCATTCCCTGACTTTGGTTCTCTGTGAATCCAGTCTATAGTGATTAACACTTAACAGGCACAGATTACTGTGAAACAGAAGAACCTGGGGCCTTCAGCCAATTAGAAATGTATTCTAACACCAGCTACCTCTTAATCACACCTTCTGACTCCCCATGTGCAACATGTAACCATGTTAATTTTGAAGAATTTCCATCGGTGAGAACTGGTCAGTTATATAACAGGTATCATGGGGGCAAGTGAGTTCCCAAGCCCTGGAGGTAACCAAACCACCTGGATAACCAGCTGCTGCCCTCGCTGTGCAAGATGAATTTAAGATTTGTGATTCTTTCTGTTAAAGCATATTTACTGTATGTCTGAATACTTTCTAGATTCATGTCCTTAATGTCTTTTTACCACCATCCATGGATATAAACTTCTATATCATTTCCATTGATTGTTTAAACCATTCTCAGGTGTTCAATGCCCCAGGCACTGAAACCTAGTTTGGGAACTATACTGAGCAGAAAAGTATGTGAAAACATTAAAAAGAGTATGCCCTTCTCACAGCATGCTTCCTGCTGATGTATTCTGGTTCTTTCCTTAGCCTAAGTTTTTAACAGAAAAAGGGGCTGCACAGTACCAGATAAACTGCTTGTAAACTCAGGGGCAGGAATAGTACGGGGAATTTTCCCCAGCACCTAGCAGTTGGTGACTGGCGTGAACTGTTTTCTCCTAGGACCATAGAGTGTTCTGGCTGGTTACTGGAATCATGTTTATGGGAAGCGGCCTCATCTGGAGACGTTTGCTCTCCTTCCTCGGACGACAGCTGGAAGCTCCCCTGCCTCCTGTGGTATGAAGGGTGTGGCCCACAGGAGTGTTGCAGAAGTCTGACGCTCTGGCTCCGGTCTCACAGGCTTTGCGACCCTGTGCAAATTTCTTGACAAGATGTGGGAGGTTTAGGAATTTGGGCAATACTCACTTCATAGCATTGCGTTATGTGAAATAACTAATGTGTGAGGCACGCTGTAAGCATAGTGCCTAGCACAGTACAGATACTTTAAAACGTTCATGGCTATAATTTTTAAAATGCATATGCTTTTCATAATTGGATTTTTTCCTGAACCATGTGAAGCATGTTTACGTTAATGTGTGGTATAGAACACTGTGGCAGGCTATTAGATGTTATTTCTTAGGCAAAACCTTTGTTGCAACCAAGATGAAATGTTTCTTTGTACTTGAAGTTGACACTACCATGATAAAAAAAACTTTCAGGCACAAATCTGAGTTGCTTCCCTGCTTCATTTAGATGGCCTCTTTACCCAAGAAGACCCCTCAGGCCGACAGGAGGATAGAAGTGCGAAGCAGCCCACGGCCAGATGGACTTACAGCAAACCGGAGCCTCCTCCCAAACCGCTAGGAACAGCCCTGTGGATCCTGAAGACCTTCCATGGCAGTCACAGAGCTTCCCAGACTGCTAGTTCATGGATTCAGACACTTGGAGATTATTAATCGTGCGTATTTATATCTAATGATGAAGGCAGTAAAATGGTCAACAACTGATGGCTGCTTTACTCGGAATTCTGAAAATGCAAAGTGCTTGCCATGTGAAAAGGCAAACTTGTTATTGCAGACGTGGAACGACTAATACGAGGATAGACTTAGAGATTTTACTTGATATATGCACATCAGGAAAAGTATGGTTTCTTGTGTAACAAGATCAGAGGCCATAGTTCTTGGTCAGGAAATCACAAGAATGTGATTCCATGCACGAACCCTCAGGTGACAAACACTAGCACGCTCCATGTTGTACTTGGGAAGGCTGTGCTTAAGAGTCAGTCCCAGACACAGCCTTATCCTGTTTGCCTCCTCTGACATCTACGTGTAATGAATCCCAACCAATCAGATCTCACTCCACCCCCTTCTGCTGCGTTTAGAACCTTTGGAAGTAAAGTGAAAAGGAGACATTTTGGTTCTGTGCTTTGCCTTTTCCTTTCTTGGTGGCCGGGCATACAAGTCCAGCAAGTCTCTAAAGCTCAGAAACAGGCCTGCTAACATGAGAGAGCACAGAATTATTTTTATAGCCAGAAGTTGTATTTAAAAGATGAGCTTAAAGTCTAACAGCTGCTACCTTTATCATCTTACCTAAGTGTGCTGGATAGTAAGTACAATAGGGAGTGAAATGTGCCTGCAAAGGTGACCAAACAACTTTTAAGCTATATTGCTAATAACAAATAGACCTCCTGTGCTGTTGTGAATGAGTTTAGGGCCCAAAACTAATGGGGCCTTTGGTATTTGGAACAAAAACATTACTCCAGCGGATGCGAAGGAAAAAGAACGAAGTTAGAGGATTCTTCCCCACTCCCACGTGAGCTAGAAGGCACCTTTCGAAGGAAGCTAGAGACTGCTCCTCCCGGCCTCAGTGGCCCAGTCTGCAGCTTGTGGCATATTTGTTGGAAGCAAACCACTATGTTGTTCTTGCAACCCCAGAGGGCAAAATTTGACCAAGATCCAGCACAAACTAGCATGTGGATCACTTGTTAACAGTTTCCACATATGCAAAACAACAAGAGCTATGTCCCGTTAGTACAAAGGCAAACAGTGTACCTACCTCATAGTCCTATGAAGGAGAGCTCCTGGTGGCTTACCATTCTTGGTTTGGTCTCAATATCGGCTAGCTGGTGACTGCTGGATGATATTTACAGGAGTTCTTACAAATGACAGTGCTCCAAAACAGAGTTCATTGGTTAACTGCTTGAAAGGGCAGTAAAATATAAGCAGTGAGCTGTGTGTACTAGCAACCGGACATACATGCAGGTGTGAGAACCCCCGTGACAAGATGGTGATGTCTCTGGGAGGACTTGAAGAGTGAGGATGTTTGCTTTGGTCTTGGACATAAACTGTGATAGATACCACTTTGATACCAGAAAGCTATTTTGGTAAGTTATTCCAAGAGCTTTATTTTTGAAATTGTGTTAATATAGTCACATACTGAATATTGCCTTTATTTTAGTAATGCCCATGGTTTAATGGATGGTGCAAGAGACAGGAACTTCAGATCAATTCAGTCTCATCCTGTTACGCAAAAGCAATGGAAATAAATGCAAATATGTAGATGTCTTCTAGTAGTTTGAAATAAAGACATTTGAGTTAAAGCTCTTGTATAAGTTAATGAGAAACTAAAACCCCACAGATAATTCTAATAGGTTGAAATGCCAGTGCTTGGTACCTGAAACCAGACTGCTGTTCCGCCACAGGGAGCCAGAGGTGATTCCTGGCATGCACCTGTCTGCCGCTCCCCATCTGTACCCACCTGGTCGCACATCTTGGCAGCCACTGGAGCTTTTCCTTGGTGTCTAGTTTAACTTTCCATCCCTGCCCTGGATTCCACCTGTCTCTTCCCCCAGCCTCTGCCTCCAGAGAAATCGAGGAGGACCTCCGTTTTTTCCTGCTTTTAATATCATTCCACCACTGGATCCTCACACTATAAACTAGCACTTGCAGACAGGCAGTAAAGCCTTCCCATGTTTTGTGACCGTGAGCCTCATGGTCCATTCTGTTCCCTCCAGTCTGGCAGCCTGCAGGACAGGCAGAGTCGGTCCATCCCCACATCCTGGAAAATAGCCCGAGAAAAGTGAAGCTAGGCTCTGCTTCCCCATTCTCACTCTGCCAACTTGGACCAACTTACAGTGACCAAGTGCACGAGGCCCCTTGTGAGCTGGTGGGGAGTCATGAGGCTCACTGCTGACTGCAGTAGCTGTCCTACGGAGGCACTGGAAGGCAAGGGAAGGTGATCAGGTTTCATTTGTGTATTTTTCCTTCACTATTTATAATGCGGAAAGTGGACTCTCATTGCACAAGGATGAGATCTCAGCAGTACAGGTTGAAGTGACCTTAACCACCACCTTCCCTTGTGTGTGTTGTCATTGTTCTAAAGCCCAAGCTTTACATTACACCTTGATTATAATGGGCCACTGATTTTTACAAAGGATTTAGGAGGCAGCACATACAGAGGTTTCTCTAAAGAGCCAGAGAGGCCTTTGCACCATCAGAAGGGACATGGACTAAGCACAGTGGGCTGGAAAAGAGCAGGAAGGAAGACAAGGTATATTTCACATGCTCCTGGTGCCATCATACAGTTACAGCCCCATAGTGTCCAGGTGCTGGTGTGTGTCCACTCCCAGGAGCTGCCACCTCTTCGAACAGTCTACCATAGCTCCACTGGATGCCACACTGTCCACCACAACTCCCACCATGGAGATGCCTCACGGGGTGGAGATCACAAGCTGGGCATGGGCAGAAACGGTGCAAAGTCTTCAGTCTGGGCCCAAGTTGTAGACATGAAGTGCTCCAGACAGCCGGGCTCCCAAAGAACTCCTGCCAGCAGCAATGACAACTTGATTCTGTAAGGGATACAGCAGAGTAATTACGTTTCATTCTTAAGCCCCCTTATGGCCTCCTGTGGTCCAGGTGTTGTGCAGTGCTCTGGAAAGAGGGGAGACGCTGGCCAGATCCCATGAACTTACAGGCCTCTTTCCCTTTGTTCAACACCATGACTACAGACATTTGCACCCATTCTTCCCACTGCACGTGAAGAATGAAAATACACCAACTCCTGCCTATTCTGGAACCCCAATCACGGTGCAGCACAGGGAACCCATCTGGATGTAATGGACTTCCCCAGGGGCTACCTTTCAATGCAGGAATCACTTTTCAGAATTGCCGTCTAAACCTGCTATAGTTTTTGAACATCCTCAGTGGGGGCAAAAATCTTCATACAGCATGATGGGATTTGGTATTTGGAAGCTGCCAAAGTTATTCTGAATAGAGACTGGGAAGTGTTTGGGGAAGAACAAGCTGTGATTTTTTTTTTTTTAATCTGCACTTAGAATCCAGGAATAAGACCAGTAACAGCAGACATTTACCAAGTGTTCCTCATGTGTTACATTCTCTGCTTCATCTTTTAATACCTCGGGGTTGTAAGTGAAAAACTTGACTGTCAGAAAAATGGACTACTCACTTCTCCCTCTTCCACTAGTTATGAATCACTGAATGTGTCTGCACTTGACTGTGAAGTTCCTGGTCTGACCATCCTAATTCCTGAAGCCAGATAGCAATCTGGTCATCTCCCAGGCACTCCTCCAGTCCACAAGCATTCCCTGGCAGTTGCAACTTGACTGCCTTTCAGTCTTAACGCCCGTTTCATTTCCTCATCAGCACATAGGCACCAAGGGCTGGGACCATGTCTCATGCCTGCCTCCCTTTAATAGACACCAGGGCCCACTGAAGGTTTGTGTTGCTAGCACTGTTTAACATAGAATTTTGAAGACTGCTTTTCCATTCTGATGTCAGCAGGGTTCTCAGTAAGAGACCACTCTGATCCTATTCACATCATCAGTGTCCATATTTTAAACATAACACATCTCAGTGCCCCCATTCTCCCATTTGTTCTAAGAAGAAAGCTTCAGTACTGGCCCAAGTGAGCCATAATTCTCAATGGTGGACAGAAAGACATCCATTATAAAAGTCTGAATACACATAAAATATTCTTAATTCTTTTGACAATCCTCCCATAAGCTTAACAATTCATCTTTTTTTCCCCCCAGATAGTTAACACTGAACTCGCAGCCTATGCAGAAGGGCCAGTTTAAACAGTTGTCAACTACAGGGCAGTGTCACAACACTTAAAGAAAGGATCCCAGGTCCACAGCACTGAAACACCTGCAAAGTCTCCCCTGATCCTTCATCCCATAGGTAATGCCTACTGTTCACATAATCCTTAGCATTTAGCCCTACACTGATTTGTACTTACTTGACTCCCCATGTATTCCTTTACATCTTGCAATGTACACCCTTGAACCTAGCAACCCTACATCTAAGAATCTCGTCCATAGGGGGTACTTGCGGGCCTATGTAAGGACAGCAGGTACATGAATGCTCCCTGCAATATAGTAAGAAGATTGAAAACAACCTAGAAGAATGTGAACTAAAAAACTTTTACATCCATACAGTAAAATCCTATGCAGCTGTTAGCCTGTCCTCTGCGAAGAGACAAAGTACTTAAAAACTTAACAGTGACTGGGACCATGTGTGTCTCTAGGATCATAAAGTGAAAATCGAGAGGAAATCACCACAGCAAAGCAGTGGCAACACCTATCCTACCGGGCAAGGACTGGCAGACGTTCCCTGGGAGGCCACAAGTGCCACGCGTTCCATACAACACCAGCCTTGGCAGTAGCCACAGGTCCCACACAGGTAGCCTTGTGCAAGTAAAACCATGCGTACGTACCAACATCTAAATTTCACCTAAATGTTATAAGATGCTATTTTTTTTCCAGCTATTTAAATATATAAGGACAAAAACAGGCAAACACCAGACAACTGAAATCTCTGCTGGAGAACAAATGCAAAATAAGGAAGTGCTCACCTTTGCGTGGGATCGCACGGTGACCAGGGAGCTCCCGAACCTGGAACTTGCCTGTAAAACACGCTCCTCTGTTACAGTGTCATGGCACGACCTTAAGCACTCAGGATCAGTTTAAGGGGAAGGGCATTTTTAATGACATTTCAGTCCTTTTAGGAGATACTTACTTCAGGAGAAATCAATACATATTGGGCCTAAAAGAAAAAAACAAATGGGACAAAGAAGAGACAGTGTTAACTGCTGTTTAGGGAGGATTCAGCCAGGTTCAATTACACTGTTACACCCAGACATTTCCTCTTGATTAGCCACACAGATGGGCTAGCCCCTAGATACTCTACACACAGGAATATAGCTAAGAAGAAGTAGCTGTTATGATAAAAAAAAATCACATATAAAACATCTTCACAATAGTGAAAATTGGAAGTGGCTTGAGTCCCTTAAATACCAGTTAGATCAACTATAGATTAAATACTATAGTATTTGAATAGCAGATAACAGAAAATGTTTGCTATATATCATGTTAAAAAAAAGCTATAAAATTGTGCACAGAGGCATGCAAACAAGATGTTAATAAAAGCACGTAGTGCAATAGTCCAAAAAGTTAGATATTTGTACAAATCCTTGTTCTACCATTTCCTAACCCTGTGCCCTTCCTCCGCAATCTCCAGTATCTGAATGTAACACACACTTGTCAGAATGGTCTAACGTATGGACAGTGGGATGCATAATTAGCAGCAGCTGAATCAGACAACACACTAAACGGACACTCTGAAGGTTCGTAGGCATTAGCTCCGCAGTTTAAAATTCTCAAGTGATTTTTAAATTTCACTTAGTATTTCCCAAAATTTGAACAACTTTCATCACTTTTGTGATTTTTCGAAGATCTACAAAATAGGGACCACATATTTTAGGTACAAGAAAATAACCCAAGTATCCCTGTGAAAAATAAGGGCAATCAACATGGAAACAAAGAGGGGGCAGTTCAGTGGCCATGGCCTGTTTTTATTATGTGGCTGTCTAGCCAAGCAGTGACTGGTGCTAACCAGGGGCCAAAGTGACACCCAGCCCAGCTGGACTTCAGTTCCAGGGCCAAACACCACCACCACAGGCAGCTTAGCCCCACAAAATGTAGGCAAATGACTGTCCTGGCCTCCAATTCTCAATTTCGAGTCAATATAGCAAACAGCCATCCTGTCCCAGTGTGATGCAGAAGGCTCAGGGGGTACGGCACCTTCTCTTCTGGACACGGTGAGAGCCACGAGCTGCATTTGCCCGTCATGTCTCCAACAGTGATCCGTTTCCCATTGTATATGTACACGCGGCCATCCTCCCCGCCGAGCAGTCCTGAGGTCATGTCTGTTATCCTCAGTGGGGCTGTCACAATGACTTCATCTGCAAACAGGAAAAATTGGGAGAAGGAAGTGCCTTGACTTCCCAGACACCCTTGTCCTTGTTCCTGCTTCATTCTAATCCGACTCTGCAAACAGCTTCAACATCATCCCGACCAACCCAAAAGCTTTCATTTCCTCACTCACTGCTCCCCATAGCAATCAACATAACAACTCAAGAAGTACAACTCACTCTTGTGCATCCTGTTCTGGGCTTATCAGACTCAAGATCGGGCCCTTGGGACACTCACTGTCAATTAAGAGGGTAGGACCTAGTTTGTCCAATGAGCCTTTCTTACCTAAACCATCATTATCCAGGTCAGTCAAGTGCAGAACTCCACCAAACCGAGAGAAGCGCCGATCCCCACTGAAGGAACTGAGCAGAGATGGCTCTGCGTTGGGCACCAGCTTATACATCCGGGTGCTCCCGCCTTGGTGCAAGGTCATGGTCAGGAATGCCATCCTAGACACATCATCTGAAACGAACCACAGTCCCTGCTGGCATCACAAGAATGATGATGAAATGCCAAACACAGAGTCCCACCCTTGGCTTGGTTTGTGTAGTGATGAGGCTCTGCAGTCCCACCCAGAACTGCTGCTGGTCAACTGTGGCTCTTCCGGAAGGCATGGGTGCTTCAGACACAGACATGCCAACACCAGCATCACCATGACTTCCCTGCAAACAGGCGTTCCTTCCTCCCCCTCTCAACCTCTACACACCCACTTCAGTTTTTGGAACCATCACAAATGGCCTTTGTCAGTCTCTTGACTAGTCCAGGTATCAGTGGAATTTGGAAGAGGCCTTATGGGATCAGGCTCCTGCTTCAGGGCACTGCCCCCTTGTCACCCATGCTTCACCGTGAGCAACTGAAGCCACGCCCATCCTGTGTCCTAAATCGGGGCCTTGGGACACAGTGTGCTCTCCGCCCGGAATGACAATACCCGTCCACACCCTTGGCCTGCTCACACCCTCTGCAGGTGGCTCCTGCTCAGCTCTCACAATTGGCTCACAGTGTCTCCTTTGGGAGCCTGCCCAGCTCCTGTATACACCCAGCACCTTCCTGGTGCCTACCACAAGGCGGCACTGTTTCCTGGCCACTGCGTCTAGCATCAAGCTCTTAGTTCCATAAGCCATGTCTTCATTTTCTTACCTAGCCTGTGCTTAGTTCTACACACATAACTCAGACATCTTCTGAACTTCGGGTAAATTCTAAAACTGACAATGAGGTTTCTGCTTGTTCATTTAATTATAACGCAGCTTTGATTTCAGACCTGGGTTCCTCCTGGAACAGAATGGCACCTGGCTGGGGTAGCAAGAGGAGGGTCCTCTAAAAAGCTTCCTGTGAACTGCAGTGTGTTAGCTGGCATCTACTTAGTACCAATGGCAGCTATTTTTCTTGTTCCCTGGGATGCCTGGCCCAGACCTGGCTGTTGTGGTTATTTAAGTATTGAACAGTGGATAGAAGATGGTATATGTGACTCTGTCTTTAAAATGCTTTTAGAAGAGAAAGTAAAAACACGACTTTGCAAAGCTTAGCAATCCTGAGCTTTGTGTACACAATGAGCATGTGGAAGGATTTAACATAGCATGTATGTTAAGAAAGGACAGCAGTTGTGGTTCAGGAAGAAAATCCAAAGTATCCTAAAAGGTTGAAATGAGAAAATTATTGTTCCCCTCTTTCTATGCTTCCTGAAACAGACTAGCAGTCTCCCCCACAGGAACCAGGGACTACATAAACTGGGAGCTGTGTGTCTTAGGATGTGACTGGGCAAGCGTGCTGCTGCCCACAGAGTGCTCCTTGAGAAAACCCAAGAGTAAAGAATGAGAAGATGTGGCCCTGAGTCCCCATCGAGGCCATTTTCTAACCCAGCCCACTCAGCTCCTAAAATGCAACCTGCTTTGATGGGTACAGAGCTTAGATAAGGAAGAGGTGTGGGTGTTCTAATCGCACAGCAGGGTGACTACAGCCACCAACAATGTGCTGTTCTCCCACAGCAGCTAGAAGGGAGGTTTAGAATGCTCTGGCCACAGAGATGATCAACGCGCAAGGTGATGAGTATGCTAATGACATGGTGTACACGTGTACGTCACCATGGCGTTCCTTGTGAATGTGTACAACTATGTCAGTAAGAAACCTCAAAAAGCACCTCTTGATGTTCATCCTAAATGACCGAGGACTCAGCTTCTCCAACATCTGGCTGCGACTCTCACCTCCATATCCTGGCTGCTCCTCACGTAGCCAGTAAGGGCGGGAAGGAGCTGAGAACACCTTCAGAACCTCTCAGCGTCTCAAACAGATTCACATTTCAGAATTTCAGCCACTCCAAACATCAGCCCTGATGAGGCCAACGAAGCAATCTTTGGATCCCCAGACATTTTAGACAGTTAAGAAAAAAACAAATCCAAGGCAGTGGCCTAGCTTTTCTTCATTTCAAAGTAGCTGAGCTGACCACTTGCTTTTGAAAGGGCTAGACCCTGAGTGAGGCGTTTATAAATTCCCATATCCTAGATTGCTGCTATGGCACAGAATCTCTTCTACACGGCCTGTGCTTTCCAGCTGAGACCCTGTTATCCATAGACCTCAACTGCTTCCTCTGCATTCTGCAGGAACGCTAACCGCTGCAGGTGGCTTCACAGTTGAGGGGGTGGGTATGTAAGCACACATGTGCAGGTGGTTTTCATGGTTTCTCAAGTGTGACTCAACTTGAGTGGCAGCAGAAAGCACACAGAAGTTGTAAAACCTAAGTGCACCTTGCTCCCTGTCAAGGTGCCTGGAACTCAGCAGACGAGCAGCCCTTTGCATCACCGGCCTTCCGCACCACAGATCAAAACAGTGAATACTAAAACTCCTGATTGTCTAGACCTTTCACACATGACCATCACAAGCAGTGTGGGAGATGCTTCCCTCTGGAGAGCGATATACGCTGAACAGAGATTTTTTCCAAATTATAAAATGTCCTTAACCTATGTAGGCCTTTTCTGATTTGCGCTATTATTCAAAATATCAGGTAGACAGACACGAATGGCTGGGGAGGGATCACAACACCCTCCTCCAGGGGTGGACCCTGCCGTCCCCACCAGCACCCACCTTAGACAGCCCACTTGGCGGTGTAACCCATGTTTACAATATGTGATGAAATGGAATACTGCTAAACCAGAAAACTAGCTTATAACACATACAGCACAAAACCCAGTTCTACACCACAGTGACCCTGCTTCATTATACAATCATGACAGTGTAATTAGTCTGGCAACACTGTTACCCCTGTCACAGCATGGGTGTTCCCGGTGCATGCTGGGAAGCCACATGCACAGAGAGTTCTAGGTGAGCAGATGTCAATCAAAAATGGCAATCATGAATTTCATGGCCATATCCCCAGTCAATGCCCCTCAAATTTCAGGGACCAAGCCTCAACCCAAAGGAAAGGAGCGCTCATTTTCTTTCAACCTGCACACACCTCGCTTGGAATGCACTTTAACAAACTTTGATTTACTACCCCTTTTTCCATCTCTGAACTGTAACTCATTACTCTATCAACAAAAAAGAATCCAGGCAAGCTGGCCACTGGTGGAGAAAAAAAATACTCTGTCAAATCCCCTTGCACACAGTTCCACGTGTTTTCTGACAATGTGACCCACACAGGACCCAAGGGAGTGAGGGTCTTCCAAGCTTGTCATTCTGCCAAACCTTGCTGGACTCCCAGTTGCTACTTCACTAGCCACCTGCCCACAATCTTGCCATTACTGAACATGGACATCTCAAAGTGGCTGCAGTACTCAGTACCTTAACATCCACATTCAACATTAAATTGTTGCACCCACTGGCCAGTGGAATCCAGTGTCCTGATGAGATAAAGCCAGAGACCAGAGTGACAAGGAAAAGTCTATCTCAGCTACTAGAAATCCTCATGGGGCCCGGCGTGGTGGCGCAAGTGGTTAAGGTCCTCGCCTTGCACGCCCGGGATCCCATATGGGCGCCAGTTCTAATCCCGGCAGCCCCGCTTCCCTTCCAGCTCCCTGCCTGTGGCCCGGGAAAGCAGTTGAGGACGGCCCACAGCTTTGGGACCCTGCACCCGCGTGGGAGACCCGGAAGAGGCTCCTGGCTTCGGATCGGCATAGTATCGGCCCGTTGTGCTCACTTGGGGAGTGAATCATTGGACGGAAGATCTTCCTCTCTGTCTCTCCTCTCTGTATATCCGCCTTTCCAATAAAAAAATAATAAAAATAAATCTTTAAAAAAAAAATCCTCACTAGTGCCTCCAATATCTTCTCATCTGGGACCCAGCATGAAGTGTTCCCATAGTTTCATGCCCCAGACCAGCACCCTGAGGAGTCACTCTGAAGTTAGGCAAAACTGTCATAAGCAGTACACTTCCACAGTGAGCCCCACACTGCACACCAAAGTGCCCTGTGTGCTCACAGGGATGCTCAAGATGTTATGAATTTGCTCAGATAACACAATGACTTCTTGGGGCATCACAAAGATTGCTAAGCCAAGGGAATCCACAGCTTCAACGTCACCACCCCACAGCGCTCTTAGCTGTGTCCAGTCTTGGCAACGGTGGGCGTTCAGGAACGTGATGCTAAAACGCAAGTGCTACTAGAAAGGTGGTGTGCATTCCTGCCAGAACAACAGGTGGACAAAGTCAACCTGGACCAGGGACTCACTGGTAGGCACAAGATCTGCCACTGGGAGACCAGATAGAGGAATTTGGTGAACCCCACATCAGCTTGCAGTCCCTGCAGATATATGCAAGAACTAAGACAAGGAGCAGCCCAACCCAGATCAGGTTACAGTACCCACCAGCATACACGTGGATCAGGTCAGGGGGTGGGCCGGGCCAGGTCATAACATCCACTTTTGGGCCCTGGCATGGTGGCCTAGCAGCTAAAGTCCTCGCCTTGCATGTGCTGGGATCCCATATGGGCGCCGGTTCTAATCCTGGCGGCTCCACTTCCCATCCAGCTCCCTACTTGTGGCCTGGGAGGGCAGTTGAGGACAGCCCAAAGCCTTGGGACCCTGCACCCACGTGGGAGACCTGGAGGAAGTTCCTGGCTCCTGGCTCTGGATCGGCACAGCACCGGCCGTTGCGCTCATTTGAGGAATGAACCATCAGATGGAAGATCTTCCTCTCTATCTCACCTCCTCTCTGACTTTGTAATAAAAATAAATACATCTTTCAAAAAAAAATCCACTTTCAGATCTAAGCACCAGGATGGGGTATGGCAGGGGATGAGTTGGGCCACATCATCAGCCAGTTCACACTCGAGCTCGGACTTGGGGCTGCCTGAAAAAGGCTCGGTTGCAGCACCAACCAGCACAAGCTGGAACTGGGGGCAGGTTGGAATGAACTAGGCTGTAGTATCAACTGGGGAATGCTGAAGATGAGCCATGTCACTTTGGAGGTAGTGGATACCAGGCCTGTGAGCCACGAGAGTGGCCTGGCCTTGGGTCTCCTGGTCCAGGTTTTAGGG